GGTCAGGACCGTCGGGCATATTTTTCAGGGTCAGATTCGGAATCTCCGACCCCGAAAACCCGTGTCCACAAAATTTCTACAACTTTTAGTCAATTTTTACCATTTTCAGAAAATTCTGAAAAATTGATGCACTCCAAGATGCACTTTATGCAACCGCAATGCAGTTTCGATCCAGCCTCAAAGTGTAATAGATAGACTTTTCTCCTGATATTTTTCCGAAGACAATGCCGAAAACTGCAACTCGATCGGTTCATCAGAAGGAATTTTCTGATTTATTGTCCAACTTGCCTGATCTAATATGACATAATAAAAAATCTGTTAAAATGACCTAACAAAAAAAATAATTAACCAAATATTATTACAAATACAAATATTTTACAAGAAGGAATTTTTTCTCTTTAATAAAAAAAATAGATCACACAGATATTTTAATACCTACCATTCTACTATTAACCTAAATTTATCATTATTATATTTATCAAAAATCAAAATAACAATAAAATAATCCTTATTTTTTGCTTTATTTGAAATTGTTTATTAACGATTTTTTGCATAAAATTTTTCTTTTAAATTTTTTAAATAGGCCATTTCGATGGGAAATTCAATTCTCTACAAAATTTTTGCTATGAACTATACCGAAATTTTGCTTCGTTTTCGTGCTATATTTAAAATACTGCAAAAGTGCATTTTCAACCCTATCTTCAATTTCAACCCTCTAATTTAATAGCACCCTGGGATTTTTTTATTTTTAATGACCCTTCGAACAAGTCATATGATGAAAATCCTTGAACGTCTTATTTCCTTCCTTTTTTTGCAAACAATGAGAATTAAAACGTATAAAGGCAAACGCGACGAAAATCGAAAAATTAGTTAATTGTAAGTTTGAGCGGCCATATATCAGTCAATTTTCATTCAAAAATACTTTACAACCTCTTATTTTGGTGGAAATTTTATTTACTTTTTTTTTCTATGACGCAATGCCTATACCTATCTTTACTCAAAAAAAACTAGAGAAAAAAAATTAAAAAAAAAATCAAAATATCGAATTCTGATAACTGTAAACTTTTGAGAAACGAAAATTTCTTTGTATTCGAAGGAAACTGCCTCATTATGCTACCAACATGTAGTTTTTGCTACTGTAAACCAAGCGCAAAATACTAACACTTCAACGGCGTGTATGTTCTTCTTGTGTATCCTAATGTCCTCGGTTTCGGGGTAGCTAAGCTTGCTGAAACAGAGTGCAGCGGGGGCGGACATGATGCTGGAGGTGATCAAATCCTGGGCCCTGGCGCCGAAGCTCACATAGGCGGCCAATACGGAACCTGCAAAAGTACTCGGTAGCGAGGTGGTTGGGTAATTATTTTCTTCCGTTACCTGACACGGTGGCGAATCCAGAGGTCATGATCGAGTGGAGCTCGGAGTCTGTCAGGTCTTTCAGATAGGGGGCTATCAGAAGTGGGGCTTCACTCTAAAACGTATCGAAATTTCTAGAATTTCTGTGTTAAATGGTTATTTATAGAACAGAAGTGAAAGAAAACTGGAAGTAATTGAATATAAAAAAGTCAAATGAAAAATGAATATGCATGATTTTTTAAAAGAAAACTTGTTAAGAACCGCTGACTTTACTAAAATTTGCGTGTAACTTACAATTATCTCAACTATGCAGTCTTGCCGATGTTACATATAGGGTGCGGCGTTAGTGCGTCGTAGTACGATATTTCCGTTATTATACAGGGTGTTAAAAAAAGAGCGAGATAATAGTATGAACTAAAATAAGCAGAAAAATCTCAATAAACATGAGTCCGCAAAGTAACGGTTGCGGAGATATTGAATGTTTTATGTTTTTTAGCCCCTTTTTTTATTTTGCAAAAACGTTGTGTATTTTCTTATAATAGTTGGTTGATGTTTAGGGAAATAAACAGTACGTATTTGACAGTTGTTCTCAATGCACAAGTTTTCTTTCGGCATGGCTGGTTACTCTAACGCAGAATTAACAGACATACATTTCATGTATGGTCGTGCTAATGGGAACGCCACCGAAGCGCGACGTCTTTATGTTGACGCTTATCCAAATCGCCAGATTCCTTCACAACGCATGTTTGGAAGAATTCACCAAATATTGCGTGATACCGGTTCCTTGAGCAAACAGTGCCATTTATCCGGAAGACCAAGGTCGGTATCCACTCCTAGAGCAGAAGAAATTCTAGCATTGGTAGAGCAGAATCCAGGTACGAGTGTGCGGAGAATATCAGCCGAGGTAGGAATTAGTGGTCCTCTTGTTTGGAGAATCCTTCACGAGCAACTGCTTTATCCATACCATGTGCAACGAGTACATGCCTTAAATCCAATAAATGATCATCAAGCACGTTTGGTTTTTTGCCGCTGGTTTCTATGTCATGATGCTGAAGACCCTCGTTTTCTTGCAAACATTCTTTTTACTGATGAGGCCGGGTTCACAAGAAATGGAGTGTTTAATTTTCACAATACGCATATTTGGGCCGACGAAAATCCTCATGCTCTAATAGAATCTGGACATCAGGCACGTTTTTCATTAAATATTTGGATGGGTATTGTAGGTGACAGGTTTCTAGGTCCTGTTGTTTTACCAAACCGACTAACAGGCGCTGCTTACCTCAACTTTCTGCAGAACACACTGTATGAGTTTTTGGAAGACATTCCTTTGAATCAGAGGCAACAAATGTGGTTCCAGCATGATGGTATGCTCCAGCTCATTTTTCCATGGCCGTTAGAGAGCATTTACACCAAACTTTTCCACATAGATGGGTAGGAAGGGCCGGACCTGTTTTATGGCCTCCAAGATCGCCTGATCTGAACCCTCTAGATTCTTTGTTTGGGGATATTTGAAGACATTAGTGTATGGTACTCCTGTAAATAGCCTGGAAGAGCTGCAGCTACGGATTAATCAAAAGTGTCAAGAAATCCAAACCAAGGAGGGTGTTTTCGAAAGAGTTCGAATATCGTTGAGACGAAGATGTCGTGCCTGCTTCGAAATGGACGGAGGGCACTTTGAACATCTTCTGTAACTTTGTTTTTTGTTAGTTAAAAGCTTCCTTTGTCGGTTTATTTCTAATAAAATAAAATGTTTGAAAAACGAATAGTGGTCCATATCTCCGCAACCGTTACTTTGCGGACCCATGTTTATTGAGACTTTTCTGCTTATTTTGGTTCATACTATTACCTCCTGAAATATTTTACACTCTTTTTTTAACACCCTGTAGAAGTTAAAAAAAGTTATTTACAAAAATTGTAACCAACTTAAAACTGCACATTTTAAAATTATTTTCGTATATACAGGGTGTTACATATTACCAGGGCGAATTAAACATACTATTTTTTAAACGTCAAAAAACGCGTCCTAGTTGGCTTAGTTGGCCGTATATTGCATTAATAAAAACAGCACTATCACAGTTACATAGAGATTTTTTTACCTTACATTCTAAAAAAATTTTTGAAATCGGCCAAAAAATAAAGACGTTACAGGCTTGTATCACATTCAAGCGCGACACCCTGTATATTTTCAAGTCGTGTGCAAATAAATGACATCTAGAATGGCACGTGACATTACATTAATAAAATAAAGAAACAGTAGCAATCCCAAGCGGAACTTTAAGGAACACCTATTCAGCTTTATATTTATTTGAAATGGTGCATTCGTATTTTACAAAGAATGTTCTATTTCTCAAATCAGAAATAAGTAAAAACATATGTTCTATTATTAGCTGTTGTACGTGCCTGATATACTGAAATTGTTGAATAATGTAGTGATTACTATTTTAGTTATTCTCTCAACATCTGTGACAAAGGCGAACACGTAAAAAACAGCTACTACAAAGGGATCTTATTATCAGTGTTACTTACAACTGTCATCAATCTAATTTTTAGCTACATCCGGAGTTCCCCAAGAATCAAAACTTGGGCCATTGTTTTTATTGTTTATAAATGACTTGTGTTTTATAATACAATGTGTACATCTGTTTTTTGCTGATGACGTTAAGTTGTTCAGGTTGATTCAAAACTTATCCAATTTTCTTTTAAATATATAGACAAATACAATTTTGTAAAAAAAAGAATTAAAAAGGGCAGCTCGAAAATGATTTAAAAATACACTGTACTGGTCCACTGCAAAACCTGACCTAGCGCAAGGCACAGCATGCAGTCGGCAAACGGCACGGCGGCAAAGTGTAATAAAAAATGAAAGGACAAAAAATTGAAAGAATTTCTTTCCCAATGAAAGATTTAAATAACATTTTACACCTATTTTATATCAGCAATTTCAACTGCTTTTACCGCTATTGTTATTATTAATTAATATAATTAATTTGTGGTTTTAATTAATAAAATAATTTGACACACCACAACAACCGTTCAAAATTTTGTCTTGTAAACACATTTGGGCCCGTTTTACCAATTTCTACGAACTAACACAACCGATATCTATCAACTCAGAGTTGCTATACACGTAAGCCATATTTGACACTTGAAAAACTAATGTAAACACTATCGCAAAAACGTTAATACTAAAATCGGATTTTAGTCTTCGGAATCGACTGGGGTCAAGTGGAGAGAAAGCGCATAACGCGAATGACGCTCGAGAGCCCAAATTCAATATTTTTTTTCTCGGAATTCATAGGGATTTTACAAAAATATTTTTGCGATAATGACTCCTAATTCAAAACAGTTGGAAAAAATAGATATATGGTGTAACGTAAGTAACTTAACCATGGAAGTCAAAGTGTAAAATTTTAACTTTTGCTAGTAAGCAATTTCTTATTGTATAAAAAACATAAACATAAAACACACCACAGAAATGAGACAACCCCCAAATTCAAAGCCAAAGGCTGCGCGGAAGGGGGCTTCACTTGAAAAAACGCGGACAAACACTCATTATCCATCGACATTGCCAGTGCCAACGCCAGTGATCGAACCCGGACCAGAATAGGAAGTCTGGCCGAGAAATGTTTACCACCGTATGCTCGACCGATTACGCTACCGTGTGATTATATGCTACAGTGGTGATTATTATGTGATTATACTTTTAATTGTTAAGAAGATCAAATACCATTAAAGACCTTAGACTTTATTTCGACAGGGAATTGTCATTTTCCATTTATATGGAATATGTAACAAATTCAGCCTTTATGTTGTTGAGATTCATCATGAGAAACTTAAATGTTCTAGATTTGATAACCTGCCAACTTCTTTAATCTCCTTCATTTGCAATGTTGGAGAAATTTCAGTCTTGTATACGAGGAGTATACAGGGTGTACCTAAATAACACCGAAAAAATTCAAGGGGCGATTCTCCGATGAAAATTAATAGGGGTCTTTGGTATAAAATTTTTTGAAAAAACCCTCCCCTGAAAAGTTACGCCCCTCCTAAAATTACAAAAAAAAATTGTTTTTCTTTTTTATCTTCCACGTACATCAAGCTAAAGAAACCAAACTTGGTGAACATTATCTGTCAATAAAACTACACTTTTTGAATTTTTTTCAACCCTGAACTATTTTTGTAAGGGGTTGAAATAATCAACCCCTATGACATTTTTTCTTATAATTTTTTTTTCGATAAAATTTTTTCCTTTTAAAAAATATGTCTAAAAAACCCCATTCATTTACTAACTTTTTGATCTCTTCAAGTTTCTTCGAAAAGTTAAGGATTTATGACAAAAAAAAATAAATGTATTGTAATGTATTTTTAAAAAGATGAGCTGTTTAACGCGAGTGTATTTTGCCGAAAGATCTAGTGGCCTGTTCTTTACAATGGAATCCGTAGAAACAAATGTCAATGTCATTTATTGTCATATTAAATAACATTTTATTAAAAAACACTCAACCAAATAGTTGACCTATGATTCTACTAGGCTAAGAAGTTTGGAACTTAGACTAAAAGTGAACAAATGATGAATAATGTTATAACAGTAACAAAAAATAAAAATCTGTCGGATATTGACAATACAATCTACAAAAAATGTTGAAAATGATTGCCTTCAGCTTCAATACAAGCATCTACTCTTGTTCTCATAGAATTGCGTATGCGTTCAAATATTCCTGGTGAATTTTTTATCGTTTCACACCCTGCTACAATGCGGTTTCGCAAATCATTGATATCTTCAACTGGCCTTGAGTAGATCAAAGATTTCAGATATCCCCATATGCAAAAATCCAAAGGATTAAGGTCAGGGGAGCGGGCTGGCCAATTTACATATCCTCCTCGACCTATCCATCGATTGGCATACACCTCATCCAAGTGACGTCTTGCACGTATACTAAAGTGGGCTGGTGCACCGTCGTGCATAAACCATAAACGTTGCCTAATTTGAATGGGAACTTCTTCAAGAATAATAGGTAATTCTTCGAGAAGATGACAATATGAGTCACCATCTAATCGTCGTGGAAGAAAATAGGGACCAATTAAATGATCGTCGATAATTCCGAGCCACACATTTAATGAAAATTGATACTGATGATTTCCTTCAAAAAAGTCATGAGGATTTTCCTCAGCCCAAATATGATTGTTACGAAAATTTCTAATACAGTCTCTTGAGAAATTCGCCTCGTCAGTAAATAAAATATTTCTTAAGAACTGCGGCGCTTGGCCGATCATATTAATAAGCCATTGACAAAAAACCACACGTGGTAAAAAATCTCGAATCAGTAACGACTGCACCCGTTGGAGATGATAGGGATATAACTGTTGTTCTTTTAAAATTCTAAAAACTACCGAATGGCTTACATTTAGGACACGAGCTATTTTCCTGGTACTAGTTTCTGGGGATTCCTCAATTAAATTAAGTACGGCTTCATCGACAGCTTCAGTTCTAACTTCTCGGCTACGGCCACAGTCATGACTTCTCTTTTCAAATTTTCCAAGTTCCCGCAAGCGTTGGTGAATATTTGTGAACGTAGTATGGTGGGGTAATCTACGCTCTGGGTACTGTTCAGCATAAAGTCTTTGCGCTTCCAATGCATTACCGTTAGCATACCCATATGTAAAATGCATATCTGCCATTTCTAAATTCGAATAGTTAACCATATTTTCGGTTTATTAACTAATATTTTCTACACAAAATCATGAAACTTGTGAAATAGTAAGAAACAGTAACAATAAATGACATTGACATTTGTTTCTACGGATTCCATTGTAAAGAACAGGCCACTAGATCTTTCGGCAAAATACACTCGCGTTAAACAGCTCATCTTTTTAAAAATACATTACAATACATTTATTTTTTTTTGTCATAAATCCTTAACTTTTCGAAGAAACTTGAAGAGATCAAAAAGTTAGTAAATGAATGGGGTTTTTTAGACATATTTTTTAAAAGGAAAAAATTTTATCGAAAAAAAAATTATAAGAAAAAATGTCATAGGGGTTGATTATTTCAACCCCTTACAAAAATAGTTCAGGGTTGAAAAAAATTCAAAAAGTGTAGTTTTATTGACAGATAATGTTCACCAAGTTTGGTTTCTTTAGCTTGATGTACGTAGAAGATAAAAAAGAAAAACAATTTTTTTTTGTAATTTTAGGAGGGGCGTAACTTTTCAGGGAAGGGTTTTTTCAAAAAATTTTATACCAAATACCCCTATTAATTTTCATTGGAGAATCGCCCCTTGAATTTTTTCGGTGTTATTTAGATACACCCTGTATAAGCAAAGGTTGGTAAATATCGAAAGTTAACAACAAAACCGCGATGAATATTACTAACGATTGTTCTAAATCTTTTCCAGGTGCAACTGACCAATCAACCTGGCACGATCAGCTGCATAAGACCGGTTTTCCTTCACCGTATGTTGTGACATAATCGCAAAAGTCGACTTACTTGTCCCAAGAAGATATTCGCGGCGCTGTTGACGCTCTCGCAAATGGAGGTGCCCATTATCCACTGGAGGAAGTTTCCTATCACTCCCACGACCTTCTGCATGATCCCATAGTAGTAGAGTATGTTCACCAGCAAACTCAGCAGGTAAATGGTGGAAAGAGCCTAAAGAAGTAGAACGTTTAGAAAATAAAAGTGGAAATTATCCAAAGTTAAACAACTAGGAGGTTGAGACAGTGTCTTTGTTGTATCTACACCAAACCTACTTTAAAAGCGAATACTCCTTGGGTGTACACCAAGTCGTCCCCGTAGGTGAACGCTGCTCCGTCGAAAGCATATCCCGTGAGGATGTTGACTTTGTCGCCAAGGCACTGCAGGATGTTGCGACCCACATCCCACCTGATAGTCAGAAGGCCAAAAAGGAACTGAAGGATCAAACCCCAAATGACTGTCCTCCATGGGATCTAGGAATTTATAATTTTTTAGTGTTGACATCAGTTTTGATAGTTTTTAAGACTTGCCATTGTCCTTGCTGCTGAAGAGGCATAACCTATCAGCAGAAAAATGAATAAGCCCGAAATGGGTATCAGACGATTTCTGTTGTCACTTGTATCTAAGACTAAGTATACTACGGTTGCAGCTAAGAACACCAGGTAGAAAATAATAGAACCATATCTAAAAATGGAAAGATTTAAAAGTTTCCTTTCATTCAATTGCATCTCGCCTTTCTTTTGTACTTTTTTAAATTTTTCTGTAAGATAATTAATTAAATACTTCCGATAAAGTGGCTATTAATAACCAATTAACTCCATTTACATAGAGGCTACTTCAAAAAGCAATCAACAAAATGCGTTAATAGACTATCTATCGTGGCTATACAGGGTGTCCGGTAACTACGGGGAAAAATAAAGGGATATATAGACCAGGTCAAAAGAGTGCGAATACTTCATATAAACTTTTTACTTAGGTGCCATTGTTGAGAAGTTATTGTCACTCAAAGTAAGAAGTTGAAAAATGAATATTGCCACAGAATAAATAGCTACGCTACAGAAGGCTCGTGCAATGTATTAAAATGTAGTCCCCGAAAAGAAGCCGGTTCTAAAATCCAGCTTCTTTCAAACTGCGCATGTACAGTAGAGAGTATAAGTTTAGCTCCTAGCTCATAGGTGACGCCAGAGGCGAGTCGGATTTAATGCCCAGTTTAGACAGCGTTGCCGGATGTAAATTTTACAGGAATTATTAGGATATTATCAAGGCAAATAAAGTTCTATTTGCCCTGATATTATACCTAAACGATGAAAAGTATTAAATAATATATATGTATAATATGCATTTCTATATACCAGTGACAACTGACATTTTTTAATTTACAATTAAATTGTAATTAAGAATATACATATGTACAAATAAAATACATACAGGGTGTCTCCTAAACGCCCCAACCCATAACTTCGTTATTTATAGTCCGATTTCAAAAAATAACAAGTCAAATAAAGTGGTTCTAAATACAGTTCAGAGGAAGCCGACTGCAATATTTTTAAACTTTTTTTTTTGAA